AGAACCACTGTATCTTTCCTGTAGATTTAATCTACTACCTATGTTGCCATATTATCAACAAATTATATTTTTTAACTAAAATCTAAACAAAAATTCCAATTTTTTTTAAAAGGTTCCAAATTTTCAAAAAAAAAATTTTGGCAAAAAAAACACATAATCGTGTTTCTGGGGTCGCAATATACTACCCCTATAAATGTTTGCATTTATTTAAGACTCAAGTTGTATAGTAAAGCTGAAACTAAAATGTTATTTCTGCACCTACTGCAATGTGACGTTTTTTATTCCATCACGTGGTACAAGGTATACATTAAAAAAAACTTTTAATGAATTACTCATTTTTATTTTTTTTAAATCGATTGTTTTCAATTTTCGTTTGCAAATTTTTCGTATAATTACTCGATGCAAGGTTGCGAATATTTAAAAACAATAAAATGTCAGAGCGGGGTTAAAATTTAAAAAAAGCACCTGGGAATACACAGTGATTATGTACGAGTGTAAATAACTGATATTTTGAATAATAAATAGCAAAATTATATGTATTTTCAAAACGATTAAAATAAAAAATAGGTTAGTGAACTATGTGAGTTTCGTATATCTATTATTTATTTTTAACATAGGGACTGGGACTTCTCATATACTGTATTTTCTTGGTAAAAATGCCCACGGAGTGCCACGTTTTATGCGAAAGAACCCGTAACTTGGTGAGGTAATTTTTAACTAGATACCATTTGTAATCTATATAATATTTTTTTTAATAATAAATTAATATTTGAATTCGCAAATATCAGTGGCAGGTTTCAATATCATCAGTGGAATGGTTCAAATATATTTTGGACTATAGTTGTTTTTTAAATGGAATGCTATACAGGGTGGGTCTTAAATAAGTGCAAGTAATTTTAGTGGTGGTATGTTTCGACCCAGAAACACGATTCTTTTTGTCTCAATAATAAATAAAACATTATATCATGATAAAATATAAAAAATGTGGAAGTTATCATATACGATTTGAAGTTGAACTTTGACCTTCAATAACTTTCAATCGAGTCGATTAAATGCAAATTCATATCAAACCTTTTTTGAAGACCGTTCAATTTTCTACAAGAATATGTATTCAATGCAATAAAATTACAAAAACACCAGACACCTCTTAATATTAATATTCAAAACTATCAGAATTTTTTTTCATCATCCTGAATGATATTTTCACGGTAACTAAAAAGAAAAAAAATATTTTTTTTTGGTGCACCCTACTGTATATAGTAATACATAGTTCATAATTCGCAAAATTAAATAAAAAGTTCGCACAGATTTTTTTCTTTCTTCCCATATATGGCCCAAATATCTTTGATGTTTCTAATTATTCTAGTTTTCTTTAATATTACGTTTCCGTAATTACAGAGTTAATGCATGCCAATACATACATATTTACTTCATTATATCTGAAATACTAATAATAATAGTAATATTAATAACATTGTGCAACGATGCATAATGACATATAAATAAAATCCTCTATACTTCGATTATTATGTCCAATTAAGAAAATATTTTTGAATAATTAAAATATTCTGTCCCGATACTAACTAACGATGTGATTTTTCTTTTCGCCGCCATTTATTTACATTGGAAAACTCGTTTATAAAATGACTCATTAGACGTATGAAGCACGTCAGGTGAGTGAGTAAATAAACAGTAACTCGTGTCAATGTGATTGAAATGGAATAAAAAAGAGATGGTGAAACCAGAAGATTGCTATTTTTAGATTTTACAGTTATTTTAATTACGGAAGAAATTGATTTTAATTAAAAAGACGCATTTAAATACAAGTGTAATTAAAAATAATTGATAACACTAAATATTGAGCCTCCTTAAACGTAATTTTCATCAAGTTTTTTTTCTAAATATCGCCAGTTCATTTTGATAGAAGATATACAGGGTGAGTCTTAAGTGCAAATATTATTAGGGGTAGTATATTTCGACCCCAGAAAAGGATTATAAAATATAATTATAAAAATAATAATAAAAAGGATTATGAGGTTTTTTCGCAAAAAAAAATTGAAAATTTGGAATTTTTTTGAAAAAAATTTTGGACATTTTTTAAGTTAAAAAATATAATTTGTTGATAATATGGCAACATAGGTAGTAGATTAAATTTACAAGAAAGAAAATCCAAAAAGGATCCAGTGGTTTTCAAAATTTTAGCAAAACATATTTTTTTTGGAAATTTTCAAAATAAAATAACTTGGTTATTTTGGATTTATTTGAAAAACGGTAAAGAGAAAATAATATTTTATTTAGTTTGTTTTATAGAGATCGACCAGCCCTGAAAATATTTGCTCTTATTTAAGACTCACCCTGTATATTGCATGGTTTATAATAGTGCATATCCTAAAAATATTTTGTTGTATACAAGGTGTCACAAAAAAGTTATAATGAAGATTTAAGATTTTTTTTAAATTGCATCCCACATTTTTCTGTACATAATTGGACTCAGCATAAAATTTTGCATATAGTACAGTGTGTCCCATTTTGTCCCAGTATCTCTCTTATTGTTAACGCTATCGAGAAAGTGAAAACTGTTTATTGTAGAACCTTTTACGTAGAATAGAGTGGCATAGTCTGTTTTTCTACGAAAATAATATTTTTAAAGTTATAAACTAAAGTTATGTTTTCTTAAATGGAACACCTTGTATATTTATAAATTATATGATCTGGCATGCCATAAGCTTCTCAAAAATATATATCATTCTATATTTATTTTCACTATTTACTGCAATATTCAAAAGTTTTTATTAAAAGATCATATTTATTAGTAGGCCATGATTGATAAAAGAAACTGAAGAATTATTAAAAGTATACTACCTACTACCTGTGTCTTGTTTTATTTTGGGAGCCACTAATATATTCTTGATGAATCAGGGAAATTTAACTCTCTACCGCTATTTGTAAATCTTAGAAGCTATTGTACAGGAAATTTTAGATATTCCTTTAGCTAATTTACGTGAAATATACTTTCAGCAAGATGGGGCTCCCCCTTACAACTTTGAAAATATTAGAATTTTGTTAAATTATTATTTCTCAAATCAAATGAATTGGAACCAATGAACCTATATGATGGCCTCCCCGATTCCCGGATTTGTCAGTTCACGATTTCTGATTTTGGGGATTTTTGAAATATGAAATATATCAGGGCAACTACAACAATCGAACACCTTTAATCGAACACAAAATGCTTTAATAATGCAAGGTTTTAGATTTAGATATTTTCAAACTCATCCCGTTATAATAAATTCCGTTATATAAAAAGAAAAATATATTCACAGTTTCAGTGGTAACAGTTTACAAAAGTAAAATATATCAATCCCAGATAAAATTTTAATGTGTATGAGATTATTTTAGTAAATACCGTTTTGATTTTTTTGTTTTTTATCATGGCCTACTAATAAGAAAATGATATATTTTAAATAATGCAGTAAATAGTAAAAATAAATATAGAGTGATATGAATTTTTGAGAAGCTCATAGCAAGCAGATATAGGGTGTGCAATAATATATAGGGTGTTCCATTTGAAAAAACATAACTTTAGTTCATATTTTTAAAAATATTTTTTTCGTAGGAAAACATACTACGCCACTGTATTCTGCGTAAAAAGTTCTACAATAAACAGTTTTCACCTTCTCGATATCTTTAACAATAACAGAGATACAGGGGGTGTCCCAAATTGCAAAATTTTTGAAAAGACCCTGTAGCTCAGAAACGAAGAAGGCTGTGAAAATTTTGTTTGTAGCATCTTCCGTTTGACAAAAAAGTGGGATAGGTTTGTACAAACCGCATCCTCCTATCTTTACTAATAACAGAGATACCGTATGATTTCAACTAAAATGGGACACCCTGTACACTATTTTTATTTGAAGCACTATGCGGTGGTGAATTTGGTGATGCCCTTCTATTTCTTATTTACTAAAACATTAGTTAAAAACACTATATTCGAAAAGTTGTTCAAAATTAAAGTGAATATAACTTTTTTAATACTTTGCTATATTTTCCTAAACAACAAAGGATAACAGAATAAATCCATGAAGGAAAATTTACATTATCCTATACAGGATGTTTTTAATGGCGTCGCTAATATCGCAAATCGCAATATTTAAAATGTTATATCCCTATTTTTTTCAATGCAACACCCTGTATATTATTTTTCTTTTAGATGCAGAATTAAAAAAATTAACATTTTTTGTATTTAAAGTGTTCCTAAATTTTTAGCGGTTTTTTAGATATTTACTGTATTAAGATCATTAACTGGTTTAACAATCTACGGAACCGATAAAATTTTTAAAAGACTTTAAATACAAAAAATGTTCATTTTTTAATTATCCATCTAAAAGAAAAATAATATACAGGATGTTGCATTTAAAAAAAATGAGGTATAGTATTTTAAATGTTGGAGAAGACATAAAAATTACCCTGTAAAAAATGTAAATTTTTCTTCGCAGCTCGGTTTCAAGTTTCAAATATGAAATAGAATGGCAACACTGCATAGTGCTGGAAGTGCATAAAATTCTGCTTATACTACGTTATTTTTAAGGTAGTATAAGCAGAATTTTATGCTGAATCCAAATCAGTACAAAGAAATAGGGAGGGGGGGGTCACCTTGTATACAACAAAATATTTTTAGGATATAATATAACCATGTAACATGTATGTATAAAAAATATTTTTATGTCTTCAATAATGAAGAACTAATGGACCACCTTGTATATTCACATTCATGTCAGTGTGAGAGCCTGGAAAATGTACGGATACTAGGCGATAAGTCATTGTGAAGAGCTATATGGAAGGTTCAGTCTCCAACTTATTAGACTTTTTAAAAAGAATAATACTAGAGAATGTAGCCTAGAAATCCAGATCTTTCTACATATGTAGTGGTCCTCTTCTTATAAGCCAGTAACCACACCTCATAAAATATATCTATCTACTGTTTATTGTGTAGTGGTACGTACCTTTGGGTATAGACAACCGTTGCTGTTCTTTTTCCCAGGATGCGAAAGACGCCTTAAGCGCCTCCGCCATTGTTTTGTTGGTACCAGGCGTAAGTGGTGGTACCTGCGTCGGTATATCTGAAATTAAAAACATAATTGTTAGACTAAATCGCCTAGAGTAATTGTATACAAGAATTAACCGACAAATAATTTATAACCATGACAAATATTTCAAAAAATACCTATACAATGTTTCAGATTCTGAATAAAGAATATGTTTATACGCTTTTCTCTGTCTGCTACTTTATTGAATTTTACTTTTACATGTCATTCAGTACTACTTCTACAATCAGCTTACCTAAACTAAATGTAAACTGTCTTTGTAATATCTAAAAGATAGTGCATACCTGGTTTAAAATTTTCGCAAGATATACATAAGAAACCATACTGTATCTTAAGAGTACACTACCCCATTGGTTATTGTTGATTGAATTCTTTCAATCAGCGGTCAGAGCGGCTGCTATGCGATGGTATTTTCATAACGATTCTCATGACGATTTTCCTCCGAGAGATGAACCAACGTTTGACACCTTAGAGGATAGCACCTTTTTATAAATACAAACCTATCTTGTTTAGTTAGGTGAGGTTAGGTTGCTGCGGTTTGGGATTTTGTTTGATCGGAGGCTTTTGACCCATTGCGATACCCCTGTTATCATTATACCAAACCTTCCTCTCATTCTTTCCTTGCGGTAAAGGAATTCCAGCTCTTTGCAAAGCCCCCGATGTCTCTGATTATTGGCTTCCTCCAGTCCAAAAAACCTTGCCCTAAAGTTGTACAGCGTCGGTATTCGAATGCCGGACAGTGGCACAGTAAATGCTCTATGGTTTCTACTTCCTCTCCGCATTCTCTGCAGTAGTCGTCGTTGGAAATCTTCCATTTCACGAGGTTTACCCCAGTAACGACACCTACAGGTTGTTTACCGCCCATTCATCTTGGTGAGACAATTCCGTTTGCGGAGGAAGTTAAGTATCTGGGATTAAACCTGGACAAAAAACTTAGCTGGACCTCTCATCTGGAAAAAACATCAAAAAAGGCTTGCTATGCTCTATGGGCATGCCGCCGAATTTCTGGTAGAAACTGGGGATTAAACCCCAAAAATATGTACTGGCTATACGTGACAGCCATCAGACCTATTATTACGTATGGCGCAGTTGCCTGGTGGCAGAAAGCCAACCAAATAACGGCAAAGAATAAATTGTCGAAACTACAACGACAAGCATGCTTAGCGGTGACTGGTGCCTTCCATTCCACGCCGTCAAAAGCTATGGAAACCCTACTCGATCTACCTCCTCTTCAAATTCTTTTGGAAAGAGAGGCGAGATGGGCTACATATAGTTTTCTAAATATAGCACGAGGAAGCCAAGGAACAATTATGTTCATACAAAACCGGCTAGTAGAAGAACTACAGTCGGATGAGATTATGGGAATGATCTCGGATCTTACACCACCAGTCCAACTCTTGACACGCACCTACAACGTCCTGTTTCCGAACAGGGACGAGTGGGATAAGCCGGGAAACGGCTTATTAAATGCGGAAATATGTTGGTACACGGACGGATCCAAAAACGAAAAAGGATCTGGCGCAGGAATTTACTGCAGCAGTCCAAAGACTGAGATCTACCACAGTCTTGGAAAACACACCACGATCTTCCAAGCTGAGCTATAAGCTATTGAAACCTGTGTGCAACTGCTGGTAGAACAGCAATACACCGGGAAAACAATATGCATATTTTCGGATAGTCAAGCTGCGCTGAAAGCACTTGAGGCAACGAAAAGCACGTCTATGACGATTCTTCATTGTAAGAAACTACTCAATATACTGGGAGATAGGAACAAAGTGTCGCTAATATGGATATCGGGACATGTCGGCCTAGAGTGAAATGAACGTGCTGATTCCCTCGCCAAAATTGGTGCAGGCTCGCCATTCGTGGGCCCAGAACCGACACTTAGCGTTCCTAAAAATCTCGCAAGAGACAGGCTCTGTGAATGGGTTAGGGGTGAGACGTTCCGAGACTGGAATGACAGTCCCGGAATGGAACATGCCAAGAAAATCCTAGCAGGGCCATCCAAACATAGAACAGGAGAACTCCTAAAGGCCGGTAGGAATGGAACGCGTGTGCTCACTGCAGTGTACACGGGCCACTGCCGGCTGTGATCTCACCTACAGAGGACGGGACTGGTGGAAGACGCCGAATGCCGACTCTGTATGGAAGATGATGAAACAATGAAGCACGTTATGTGTACCTGCCCTGCTGGGAGCAGGACCAGGTTTGAGATGTTTGGCAAACCCATGCTAGACCTATCAGACCTAGGAGACATATCGCCATCAGACATAACGGCCTATATTAAGAGGCTGGGTCTTGAGGATGAACTTTGACGCTCTTGTAAATTAGAGCTTGTAGAAACTGAGCCACAATAGGCCCTCGCGGCCTCAGTGGAGGGTCCCCTATGGGACCCACTCTTAGTCAAATACAAAAAAAAAAATACAAAAAATACAATACATGTTGTCTCCAGTGATGACACCTACAATTATGCATACCAGGTTCTTTTTGTGCTCTAGTAGTTGTTTTGTCTTTTTGCTATCTACCACTGGCAACACTCTTCGAGCTGTAGCGCAGTCCTCGCAGTCTTGCCACGTCTCTTGCTACTTGGCCTTGATGGTAGTTTCTATAGCTTCCTTCAGTGTGTAGATCGTCACAAGTGGTGGATCATCTGCTACGGCCTCTCCCTTTGCCCCCTCTTTGGCGAGTCCGTCCGCCAGCACAGAGGGCCCCGCCTTGACGCAGCCAGGACAGTGCTTCTCGGCATTCCATCACAGTTTTGATCTCACTGATTGCATGATCTTAAAGCGCCCAAGCTGTCAGAGTATGTATGTCACGATATTTCCTATTGGTCTATCGGCGATTTTCTCTCGTATACAACTGGCCGCTTCATTTATAGCGAAAACCTCTGCTTGTAGTACATTACAGCCATCCGATATCTTTAAAGATTGTCGAATGTCTAGTTCCTCTGAGAAGATGCCTATACATGTGCCTCCTGAAGTTACGAAAGCATCTGTGTTCATTACTCCGTAGCTTTCCCATTCTTCTCTTGTCGTACCTTATCTGGTACATTGCCGAAAAGGTCATAGCTTTCTCTCTAAAGACTTATAAGTATAAAAGCAATTTTTTGAAAATTAATAATTTTGACTTGGTCGTCTCTTGGATAACAAATTTTGGCATAATGTTTCAAATAAATACCGGGAAAACCAATAATCCCTTTCCAATCCCTCGATATGCATTTGAGATCTTTGTGTCAGCATTTTTGTAATTAAAACGATATATAAACAGTTTAGCTGATCTATTAAACAACTACAAATTATTGTGTTGAAATAATACCAAAGATCAGGTACGAAATAAAAAAATAGTTGTAAATGGACTAAAGAAGAACAAATTTATTCTCTTCGAAGTTCGAAACAAAATAAACCAATGATAACAGCTTAGGATAGAAATGGCTATGTTGCGGTGAAAATGAAACTTGGTGATGCTGTAAAAATCCTTATCCTAAAGTATCCTAAAAAGTATCCTGATGTGTCTGATTGATTATGATCACAAAAAATGTGGCGTCCAGTAGTTTGGATAATGCGGAAACGACAAAAGACCCAGCTAACAGAATTCATCCACAGAGTCAATCAATCCCTCAAATGGCAATGGGCAGGACACCTGATGAAGAAGAACGGACAACAGATGGACCACAAATATTACAGCATGGTACCCACGAGGAATTAAGAGACTTAGAAGAAAACCGAAACTGAGATGGGACCATGCTATTAGGAAATTAGCAGGGATAACTTGAGCCCGCATAGCCAACAATAGTCATGCAACAATGGACCCAACTAGAAAGAGAGTAGGTGAGGTAAACTACACCATAATTGGAAATGGTTGAATAAGCTGATGATGATGATGATGATAGTGTTTAAGCATTTTGTTTTATTACAAAATATTTAAATTTGGAGTTTCTTCTTCTTCTTAGGCCGCCGTCTCCGTTCGGAGGTTGGCGATCCAACTGGCTATGATGGTTCGTGAAACTGCACCTCTGAAAATTTCGATCGATGTTCTTCCGAACCAACGACGCAGATCCTTAAGCCAGGAGTTTTGCCTTCTTCCCGCTGATCTTCTGCCCTCAATTTTGCCCTCGATGACCAGTCTGAGCACCTCGTATCGATCACCCCTCATGATGTTACCGACGTACTGTAACTTCCTTTCCTTAACTGTTGACAGGAGCTCTTTATCTTTGCCCATCCGCCTGAGCACCTCCTCATTTGTCACTCTATCCATCCAGGATATACGCAGCATACGACGATACAAGTACATCTCGACGATACAAGTACATCTCAAAAGCGTTAATGCGGTTTTCCAATTTCTGATTGAGTGTCCAACTCTCAGAGCCGTAGAGAAATACTGGAAAGATGATGTAGCAACGCAACATACGTATGCGCAGTTCGAGGCTTAGATCTCGGCTGGAGAAGAGGGTTTTCATGGAAGCAAAAGTACGTCTGGCCTGTTCGATCTTCGCTAAAATTTCAGTTTTGGGGTCGCAAGCGTCGTTAACTAGGACTCCTAGATACTTTATGGACGATACTTGCTCTACCACCTTGTTGTTAATTCTGAGGACAGTCTTTCCAGGTGTTTTGGAAAATACAACAAGTTATACAATATCATTTGGAGTTTGGGTTAATAAAAATACGAAATAATAGCATTATAAAAATGTTCCAGTCTAATCCGGATTCTTCACTAATTCGGTTGTAGCTGTTCCGATGTGTGTCCGGATTATCGAAGTTCTACTGTATATTATAAAACCAGATATTCATCTTTAGAAACAATGAGTAACCCTGTACATATATTAATGCATATTAAAAATCCCTACAAAAGTTAATCCCTCGATGAAGCTGATGTTTATAATAAATAACGGGTTACTTCTCTACAGAAACTTCGAAGAGAAAATTACTGTGGTAGCACGTTTTAACTAATTCTAATTACGCTAGATCCTATACAGGATACGGACTGGCCACTACAGAATCTTTGCAACGAACGGTTAT